AGAGTGTGGAGGTGGCCAGTGCTGGAGAGACTGGGATGGGGATGGGATGGGGATGGGGATGGGGATGGGGATGGGGGTGGGATGGGATGGGGATGGGGATGGGGATGAGGATGAGGATGGGGATGGGGATGGGGATGGGGACGGGGATGAGGATGGGGATGGGAGGGGATGCAGTGAGCTACTTGTTTGGAGGGGAAGGCAGGATTTTACACTGAAGAGATGCAGGTTGTGCTGTATTGGGCTGCTTGGCCTCAACCCAGAGGATCATCTCTGGTGTGTTTTATTTGGTAGTACAGAGGTAGCCTTAGATGCCAAGGGTTACACAAATAAAAACAGATGCTTTTGATAGCTGTCAGCATTTTAATGAGGAATAAAATTGAGCCCTGGATACTTCTGGCTATCTAATGGCATGATTTTTTGTAATGCGTGCTGATTTTTTGTTGCTATTTTTTTCCCCATATTTTATGATGACTGCCTGAAGTCCTGATCTGGTGGGATTATGCCAGATACCTGCACGGTTGGAGACTCATCAGCGATTCAGATTCCTTCAGTCAGAATGTCAGTTTTATCACAAAACTTGTAAAGCTTACCGTGGTGATTTCAAATTTCCTCTTTAGTAGACATTTTGTTTGAATGCCATGAAGGGGCTCCTTTCTCCGCGGCCCCGGGAGTACAATAAGCTATGCTCTTTGAGAGAGGCTAGATGACTACAAAGTTACCTTCATTAAATTTTCTCTTCATGCTTTAGCATAGAATATTTCTTTTTAAAACACTCTCTCCTTTTCTTTTGTGTCTTCATCCTATTACCTTTATGAGATTGTGGTGCATCAGCTTGATGGAAAGGTGGGTGCGCGGCTCCCTCGGAGGTTTATTCCAGCGCACAGAAATATTCTGCTCGCATGCGAGGAGCTTGAGGAGCAGCTGGGAAAGCGAAAGCAGATCAAGTAATTGTAAACTTAATAAAAACACGTCGTTACTAGCGTGCCATGTGGCGCGCGGTGCAGATCAGACTACGGTTCGTATTGACTTTTGCTGAGAAAGGCATTTGAGATCGTGTGTGTGTTGATTCTGTAAAGTAGTTATTGAGTTGCACTCAATGGAGATGGAGCCCTGGTTCACTCCTACGGTATGTATTTTTCCTTCAGTTTGGTTGTGAAATTCCCAAGTGATTAAATAAATAAATGAATAAATAAAATGATGGGATGCTCTCCCTGGCACACGTGTCCCCAGACACAGATCTCTCTCTCAGGACATGGCATGGTTCAGGGAAGGGTCCTCCTACTCGAAGCAGGGTCAGCTCTGGGACCAGACCGGGCTGCTTTATCCATCCAAGTATTTAAAACCTCCACGTTTTCATTACAGATTCCACATAATTACTGGGTTTGCACTGTTTAGCTTTTCTTACAAGCTTTTTCTTCTGTCGAGGCCCACAGACCCTTAAATGCTTCTCTAAAATGACCCTTATTTATAGGAAGTTTAGAGAAGTTCTCTGTTAGGGAGAAATTTCGTTTCCCTTTTGAGGAGTTTCCTTGCTGTTGGCTGTTCCTGACCCTACATCTGAGAGCCCTGTCATCCATCATCAACCAGAAATCAATGGCAAAGCCTTCAGTGGGGTTACCGTAATGGACATTGCGACCTTCTTTCCTGAACGGGAGATCCTGCAGCACGTGGTTTACGGCCATCTCATGTTAGACAGTAATCTCATTTAGCGTTTTCCCAAAAGTGCAAATAGTGCATTAGGGGAGTGTAACAAGCACAGCGGATCAATACGGAGACGGTGCTCTCCTTCAACAGATTAATCCAAGAAAATGGACTTTGTTGACTTGAAGGAAGTGGCCCTGTTCGCCTTGAGCTGCATCGGGTCTTGAAGACAAGTCACTGTGGGGCAGGAGATGACGCGTCTTAGAGGCCTCCGATACTGTTGGCAACGTAGAGTCCATTGAAGCATTCAAATAAAGGATAATACGTCGACTTTGAACGGTCACTAATGGCATGGCTCAGGAAAAAAAGCAATCAAAAGAGCTCCTTAACGTGGGTTAGAGTACCCCCGCTGAAACGGCTTTAAATACGTTTACAGAATTTATGTAGCCAGTGAACAGCAGCCCATTTCCTTCGCTCTTCACCTTTATATAAGAAGTCACTTCAAAATCAATTGTGAATAAGGGCACAGCTAGGTTTACTGCGTGTATTTTTTGTTAACTCATTGTCTGTTGTATTGGTTTATCAACCCAGACCAGGGTTTCAAGCATTTAAAACGAACTCTGGTTTAGTTGGACCTAAATCGCCACCACTGTGAGTCTCCAAAGAGCGTATGTGGTGCTCCCTCTCGTACTGCACCCCGATACGGACCTTGTCACAACCAGTCGGCATGCAGCAGTTTATGGGCGTACATTTTGATGCCTAACACGCTTTTGAAGTGCTTGCTGATATCAGCAGAGGGGGGATTAAGGGAAAATCCTCATCCGTAAGAGTCTACAGAAGTTTGAACTTCCAGATCGTAAAGTGCTTAAGCACCTGGGACTGCATTTAAATTCTGTTTTAAGCATTTCACAGATGTACAGTAATGAATGAAAAGAGTAAGAGGGATGTTTTATATGGGTATATGTATTGGCACTACATCTTGAGTGATTGCCAAGAAGTCAGTTCCCCTAAGGAATTACATTGTGCTTCGCATTTCACTTTCTTACCGGAGTAAAATAGAGATCTGCCTTGGCCAAACAGCAAAATAAGAAGGAACAGAATATTCAGCTGAGGATACTGTAGCTGAGGTGTCTCATTATTTTTATTATTGAACTAAAAGTAGCGTGGGCTGGAATGGATGTTAGAGCAGCCACTGTCGGGCTTTCCTGGTAGGGTGAGTGCGAAGATACGTTAAGTATACAGTTCGCAGGCGTAAAGCAAATAGTTGTTTTCAAGGCATATGAACTGTAAATGTTTCTCTAAATTTTCATGCATTGTTTTCTACCATTGAAATATTTTATCTGTGGTGTGAAAGGGGTTTAACTTTCATTTGATTGTCTTTTATAGAAGTGAGTGCCTTATAAAGTATTTATAAAGTAGATGTCCAGTTAGCATGACATTTCATCTCTGAAACACTTCACCAACCTCCTTCCTTTTGAAACAGGGAAGTATTGTATTCCCGTTTTAATTCTGTGGCGCAGTCAGTGTGGATAACATTTTATAACTTAGTGCAAATGACAAGATTTTTGTCCAAAAGAGGTTGGATTTTACAGGACAGACTAAAGAAGCTTCCATTCCTTCGGCTTCCATTGAAGGCAAAAAGTATATAGCATCAGCCAAAAAGATGGCAAGAGTGATGAATCTATACAGTGAAGAAAATAGACAAAAATCCTATATAACTTGCACATCTGGCATCAGGATTAGAATTGAGGTGATGGGAAGGAGGATGCACCAAAAATAGAGGCTATCATCAGATCAGCAAAAGTAGGTTCCGCAATTTGCTGATGGTAGCAGGATTTTTGTATTTTCGAGGTCAACCCAATGGGTGATTTCACTTTTATGCGGGAGCAATATTTAATAAGTAGCAAGATTATATGGTCATAGGACTGTATAGCGATGCAGCTCTCCTGTGGTTCTGTGACTGTTTCTCTGATGTAGCTGAGATCAGATGTGCTTCGTCTTTGCTGGGATCTTCATTTAAGGACGTGTGCTCATAAGAAGTTGGATGTTAATTTTCTCTGCCAGCTGGAACCTGAGTACTGGATTAGGAGGACACCTGTAGTCCTAATAGCCAGATTTCTGCAGCTCGTGTTGATGTTTGCATCTGATGTTACCCACTTTATAGTCCAAACATCTCTAGAAACAGCCTTTGTTTATAAGTTTAAAGTGTTTTCCTTCACTTCTATTATTTAGTTTACTTCTTTAAAAAAAAAAATAAAATCAAAAAAAGAGTTACATCTTTTCTGAATTTTTTTCGAGAAGGAAACCAAAATGTTCTCTTCTCTTTCCCCAGGCGATATGAGTCTCATCCAATCTGCGCTGATCTGCAGGATAAAATCCTACAATGTTACCGGCAACACGCTCAGGAGACCCTCAGCTGCTCTGCCCTGGCTAGCCAGTACCTGCATTGTGTCAATCATGCCAAACAGGTGGGTGTAGAAATATTGCCACCAAATTAATCATAGAATCATAGAATCACAGAATGGTTGAGGTTGGAAGGGACCTTAAAGATCATCCAGTCCCACCTCCCTGCCATGGGCAGGGACACCTCCCACCAGCCCAGGTTGCTCCAAGCCCCGTCCAACCTGGCCTTGAACACCTCCAGGGATGGGGCAGCCACAGCTTCTCGGGGCAACCTGCGCCAGGGGCTCACCACCCTCAGAGTGAAAAATTTTTTCCTAATATCCAATCTAAATTTACTTTCTTCCAGTTTGAAGCCATTCCCCCTCATCCTATCACTACATGCCCTTGTCAAAAGCCCTTCCCCAGCTCTCCTGTAGGTCCCCTTTAGGTGGAATGGAGAAGAGGACTACTGGATTGTCCAATTAGTCCTTCTTACATGCCAAAGCAGTACTGTTCCCAGTATGTATGTTCTCCTAAGCTCTGTGGAGTCCACTTTCAATTTGTTCAAATGCTGGGATTTCCATCTCTTCCCTTGGGAAGCTCTCATTTAGCACAGTAGCTATCGCTGTTGGCAGATGTTTCCTTCTATCTGCAGTTTTAGCAGTAAAACGAGGGGATTAAACTATGTGGTACTATTTGTCATAAATGTGACCACTTTTGGTAAGAAATGAATGGATGTCTCAAACTAGGTTGCTCACCAGTTGGAAGCCTTGATTTCTTTTATGTTATGTACTCTGAGAGTCTAATGCTGCCCTTTACCTGGTCTTGCCCTCCTCCCATCCAATTTCCTAGGATATGGGTTGTTACTATAGTTTATAAACTTTAATGCTTTATTTGTGCAGCATAAGGGAAAACGATAGTAAAATATACATGTTTTGGTTCAGCTAAAATTTCTAAACATGATTCTTTTTCAACAGCTTACATCATTCAAATAATAGAGATGCATATGTTAACCTCAGTTGCGTTCTTAAAGAAACCAGTTGCGAATACGCTTATAGGCCATATGTAGTATGTTAAAAGTGCTTAAATAAGACTGTTGATCTTTATTTCTGATAAAATCTATGAGTTAATATTTGAACATGTGAAAATGCGGGCTGTGATGTGTTAGCAGAGACCCAGCAAGCACGTCTAGTATTTGATAATGATAATAATTTTCATTCAAGTTAATTCTGCCTGTCCAGAAAAGTAGTAAGACCATGACTATAATCATTCACCGTGACCTTTTTGCTGTTACACTGGTGCAGCCTTGCTCCGGTATTACTGAGGATCTTGCTGGAGGATCTTGAGGATCCGCTGCTCGTGGTCTAGGGCTGTGTAAGACTTGGTAGGAGACAATGGTTATGTGGCTGTGCTAAAGCTGTTCCTCAGTCCACAGCGCTTAATACATTTATGTGGTGCTATTATTGTTAATTCTCTGTTTCTGCAGTCAGTGTGCTGCTTTTTTGCACGGGCAGCCTGGCTGGGTCGGCAGCGCTGGCAGACACGCTCCTCTACCGGCTGTAGCGTGGTTGTTCTCTGAACAGTGCGGGATGAGGACAATTTGTGTGGCTGTCCGGGCAGCTCCAAAATCACTTTATGATCATCAGTGAAATCTTAACAGATTCATGTGACAAAATATAAAAGTCGATGAGACCCCCCTGTCCTTTTCAAAATCACTTCCTTCCGTATATCCATTTGTGTTTCTCCTGCCCACTCGTTAATGTACCAAGCTCCTCAGCTCCTTCATTTCCTTAAGTACTCTACAGCCTACTGGATCTCCCTGCTCATGACAATTATTCCTGATCTTCTAGCCTGAGGCTTTCTTTCATAAAGCTACTGACACTTCATTAATTTTGGAAAGGTGGTTGAGCCATGCTGAGGCACCCAAGCCTGAGAAGTGCAGCCAGCTTGGTCCTGGGTGCAGAAGCTGCTGTGGCTGCAGCCCGCTAATTTTGCTCATAGAATCATAGAATGGTTTAGGTTGGAAGGGACCTTGAAGATCTCCCAGTTCCAACCCCCCTGCCCTGGGCAGGGACACCTCCCACCAGCCCAGGTTGCTCCAAGCCCCATCCAACCTGGCCTTGAACACCTCCAGGGATGGGGCAGCCACAGCTTCTTGGGGCAACTTGGGCCAGTGCGTCACCACCCTCAAAGTGAAATATTTCTTCCTAATATCTAATCTAAATCTCCCCTCTCCCAGTTTGAAGCCGTTCCCCTTCATCCTATCACTACATGCCCTTGTAAAAAGTCCCTCTCCAGCTTTCTTGTAGGTGCCTTTCAGATACTGGAAGGGGCTCTAAGGTCTCCCCGGAGCCTTCTCTTCTCCAGGCTGAACAACCCCAACTCTCTCAGCCTGTCTTCATTCCCATCTTCCCTAAGCTGTATAGTCCCCCGTGACCTTTTGAATTGGATTTTTTTGCTTTCAGTTGAATTGCAATTTTCGTACCTAATTCATACTATGACAAACAATATTTGGTGCATATATTTTTTTTTCCAAATTTTCCCATAGTGTGATTTTTGTATTCCAACCCCAGTCTGAAGTTACTGGACTGTGGGTATTTCCAAGACATTTAGAAAAACGCCATTGAATAATACAAGATTGTTATGTAGTGGACTAGGTTTTCACTGTGGCTTGCATCTTCTGGAACACTAATTTACTGTATGTGTAATTCTATATTATTTTAAAAAGTAACTAGAAAATTTAGAAAATTACTTATACACGTTTAAACTATAACTAAAGTTTGTATCTGGTAGGAATTTCTTCAGAAATATATGATGAGGATGAATTAATTCATGTTCAGAAGGTGCGGGAAAAGGAAATTGCATAAATATGAGCGTTGGGTTTTTGAATCCTTTTAAACACCTTTTTTGTTGAAGATCTTCAACCAAGCCTGTCAAGTAGTTAAAAGTGTTTCCTAAATGCTTCTTATTCTCTTTCACACATGCTTCAAGATGAGAATTCAGAGAGGTTTCTCTCTTATGATAACAGAGAAGGAGAAGCCTTTTATGATGGAAATATTTGCAAGCAGGAACAATTGTTTTTCATAATGAACATCAGTCCTCTATAGCTCATCCTCCATGTGTTGCAGCTGTAATTGTAATTATTTTTACTCGCTGATTGCCCAGAAGTCCAGACAAACAGTTACTTTGAAATAACTGCTAAACATGGTTATAAAATACTGCAAAATTACCTACTGCGTGGGCTTGGTTGGAAGGCAGAGGAGTGGGATAAGTAGCGGATTCAGAAATGAAAAAGTTAACTGACACTGGCTACAAGAAACAAACAAAGAAGAAAATTTGCTAGAGGGAATAGACCAAGATATTGAAAACCAAATAAGTTAACTAATCCGATTTCCTGGCGGTGAGTCTGGGCACTTGTGCTCGGGCTGAGCACACTCTGTGCTTTTCATAAATTGAATTTATTGACTCCTCTTTCTTTCCTATCTTGCTTATAATTATCTCACCCTCTCTTCTGTATGCTCCTTATTTCTCATCCTGTCTGTAATCTCATGTCTCTATCTGTCCTTTTCTCCCCTTGTTAGAAAGGCCCAGAGAGCTGTTAATTCAGAGGAGTTTGACACATTGTTGTATCTTCACTTTAAATCTTTTCCCAAAGTCATGAGAAGCTAGTGAGATAAATTAAACTCTATTATTAATGTTTGCATTTTATTGTAATAGTAACGGAGAGAAAAACCTACTTAATGGAGCCGTTAAGGGGAGATATTAGGATTGTCTGTGGCATGGATTTGTGCTCCCACTGCTGAAGTTACTCCAGCCAGACATCACTGTACTAATATGGACTATCCAGTGGCAGTTTTTTATCACTTATCTTAGTCTGCTGTCCACTGATACAGACAAGGTGACTGTTAAAATACCTTTTTTTTTTTTTTTTCCATTTTTGTGGGTTGGGGGTTGGTTTTTTTCCTTTCCCCTGGGCTACGGGCAGTCCTAACGCCTATACGAAAACACGACGAGACTATAGTTTGATGAAGTCTGTGCAGTAGTTTCCTATCAGACCACTGAATTTCACAGGGATGCGAGTCTCTGCAGGCAGGTTAGATTCAAAAGTACTTCAAAGAAAGGTACCAACAGCTGCTGGTGTCTGACAGCCTGGCTACAAAATGTTATCCTTCAGCCTCTTCAGCCTTCTCAGAACCATTATTTTAATTTGTAGAATAGAGTGGTCCTTAATCATACATCCTGGTCAGAATAAAACCATTATTTTAGCCACATCCTCCAGGATTTTACTGAACACCATCTTCTAATCTAATGAAAAAATATGTAAAATTAGTGTAGCTGGAAACACTGAACTGAAATGCAGTAAAAAGGCATTGTCTTTTATGGCCACTATTTAACATTGCCTTGGTTGAAGGAAGTTTATTATGGAAGAGTCAGACCAAGTTCCCTTCACACCTACACTGGGGTCATGAAAGAAAAACAAAAGGAAAATGTTTGAAATGCATGAAGTAAATTTGTAGGTGATGTTAAATGGCAAAGAACACTAAAAAAAACCCATAAATACAGACAAAACCAAAGCAAGCCCTGGAACGCTCCCATTTGTCTGAAGATGAAATTTTGTGGGCAGAAATATGCGTGCGACGAACAAAAACCTGCAATTTCTTTCCTTAGGACACTAAATAAAAGAAAAGTAAGGCAATTTTTCTCAGATCTTTTGGGAATTTCCTGTGTTAACTTATGCAGTGTTAAATTTATGTAAAGTTAATATTCAGCCCAGCAATGGCTTCGAGCAAGTTTCTGTAATACCACTGCAAAGAGAGTCTTCCAGTTAAAGTAGCCTTCATCAGTTTTGCAGAAATCTCCGCGGAGATGCTCTCAAAGTGAGATTGGAGATTTTGTTAACTAATAAAAGTTTCCCTTTTTTTTTTGGTCGTAATAGCACCTACGGAGCATAAAACCGACTCCGTTTATTTTGTCAGCGTGTACTTCTCTACCATGGGCTCTGGAGAATATTGGCCATCACAAAGATATTTACCATCTTTTTATGTGCGCACTGTCCTGCTCCTTGGTGCAGCTCTGAATCCCTGCAGAAACACCGCTTCATCTAGTTGGATGGTTCACCAGGTTATTTTTAGAAATATCATGAGAATTTGGTTAAAGACATACGTGACAACAGGTTTTTCATTGCCTTTGTTTTTCATTTTCCTGAGCCCAGACTTCTGTGACTCTGACGATGCAGTCCAGAGTCACCGGACAATGTGCCTGTCTGGCACTGCTCAAATACTTGAATCAGCTGTTTGTAGGTCTCCTGTAAAGTTTCAAGGTTTACATTTGGGCTTGCTCCTGACATAAGCCCTAAAAATTATCAGATCCCTTCCTACCATTTCTTACAAGGAGACTCCTAATTACCATTTTCCCTATTTTCTGGATTTTGAAGGCAAGAACAGTCGATTGCGTTGGGCAACGTCCCAGTCCTCCAGTGAATATAGATGGCCTCCAGCATGCTTTTACTGCCCAGCCTGTCCGTGTCCTCTCAGATCCCACTTTTCTCTTCCCCTTACTGATCTAGACAAGCACCATCCATACATGTGCTCATTTCTGCAGACCCTTTATTTCTAGATATGGAATAGGAAGTTCTCAGTAGAGCCCTACATGCTGTCCTTGCCAGTCTGCATTTTCAGGGTGGAGGCCAGGATCTCTCTGAAGGGTCAAGACCTTGATGGCAGAGCTCTCTGGTGTGTCAGGAGGAATAACTCTTGGACTACTTGACAGATGTATACTTTTGGCTCTTGGTGGCCTGGCTGTGCACAGGAGGTGGTTAATGAGGTGCGAGGTCAGTGCAACACGTTCAGGCTATCGACATTCTGATTATGACTTGGAACGCCGGAAGGAGGTGGGTAGGGGAGATACTTAGTGTCGTATGTCTTCAGGATGTATTTCCTCAAGTATGGAATTGCTGGGAACGGGATTTATCTTATTGTGAGATCAAACGTTTTAATTTCCGTAATAGCCGTAGCGTGACTAGAGCTGTGATAGCGTTAGAGTGGATGAAAAGGAATCATTGCCGCAACTCTTCGGGCCTCCAAATGGCTGACTTGTTGCGTCCTCAGGTAGCTTCATTCTGCCTCTGTGGCTTGTCGATGTGCATGTTGACAATGTTGCTTTTTTCTGCATTTTAATTTAAAAAAATTGCAATTCCTAGGAAGGAATTGCAGCCAAACTTCTCTGGACTAACTCTGAGTTCTTGAAATATGTGTTTCTCCCTTTTCTTCCCTTCCCTTCCCCCTGCCCGCTTTCTTAGCAGAGCATGCTTGGGAGAGGAGGATAAAGGCATTGTCCAAATCAAGCACAAGACCATCAACTCTAATTTCAGCAGAAGAGCATTTTTTCCCAAGAATGATATGACAGCCCATTTACGGGGCAGACCAATAAAGAGAAGAACTGGAAGAGCCATTTCGAGAGCAGCAGCCATCACGGCTCAATCAGCGTGACCATTTGAAAAGCCAAGACCTGTATCTTATTGCATCAGAAATCATACATCCGAAGATACTGTTCGGGCTTAGTAAAATCCACTTATTGGTGATTGAAGGAAGGAAAAGAAAAGAACCTTTCACTGACCTCGGAGAGGGGAAATATCCTTCAAATGCTGCTATTTCATTGTAGAATCTCCTCAAAAACTTCTCCCTGTCAAAGGCGCGGGTATGTAACACTCGGTGTGCCGGGGACGCGGCGGTACTTTGTGAGCCAGTCAGACGTCGCTCCTCGCCCTGCAGCCCGTATTCAAGTTTTCCTTACGATGTATAATGATGTAAATTGTGCTTTAACTTACATCACAAATTATGTAACTTAATGAAGTCTCTCTCCAGGCCTTCTGCTGGAATGATGTTAATGATCCAACACTTAAGATGTAACATGGCCTTTATTTACATGAAATGATTCTGTTGTGCTCCTCACTCCAATCAAGTACTGACGAATATGCCTCGCTCTGTACCAACAATAAATATATTTTATGCACAAGATCGATGTTTCAGTCTGTCTCTCTTTCCGCTTCTCAGAGGCGGATGGTGTTCCCTCTGCTGTGTCAATCATGGTTTTCCAGCAGATGTTATCGCTGAAGCTTTAAAGCACAGACTTTTATGCGTATCCAACCTCAGTTTTGGGAACGGTACTTACATATAACTGTTTTCCGTCACGGCAACCTAAAAGGATCCCACGTGGTGGTGTGCTGTGATTCATACACCACCAGTTTCCTTTCTTGGAGAGTACTTGTGAATGAAAGGGCATACAGTGCCCCAAACTGCAAAGGATCTTTAGGCAAGTACCCGGTTTCATTTAATTGTTTTTATTCAGATAACGACTGCCGCATTCGTCTTGCCAAGCAATCTTAGAAAAAGTTTTTTACGCAGTAGGAATAGTAGCGGTGTCGAATGAGCAACGTGTGTAGAGCCTTCTGCTGTTTATTTACCTGTTCTGTTTCTCTAATTGGCCACGTCTGAACTGCATCCCACCGTACAACTGCGAGTGCGCCTGCGGATCTCATTTAGATTCAAAATATTGCCCGTGACACTCCTATTCTTATTATCAAGGTGCTTTGTGAGTACTGGTTAATTAAGGATATTTTTTCTTTAATGCTACAAAAAGAAGCTGGGCTTTTTTCACGTGTGAAGCAACTGTAGTATCAGTAGGGGAGGAAGATCCTGGAGTTCAGCCTCAGGTGCCAGGTAAACTGCTTGAGAGAAATAATAGGGACATAAGCAACATGTTTACATGGTGACTTGCTGTAGTGTTTACAAATCAGCTAACTCGCAAATTCTCCTTTATAATGTTCTCTTTTGTAACAGAGAGCCAAGAAGTTGGCAGGTCCCTCCTTGCCAGACTTAGAATTGGCAGCAAAATGCAGCGTAGAGGAAAAGCAGACGTTTTTAAGGCCAGATGATTCTGTAAAATCAGGAGAAGAGCTATGTGGGTAAGGAAGGTCTCTGTTATTGCCAAATGTTTATTGGTTTCCCGTCCTGACAGCCTTGAGCAATGGGAGTCAGTCTTGCTTGCTTTGTTCCAACTGTGTTTCGGGCTTCATTTGAGATGTTGTGTTCTTTAAACATCTTCTCTATCATCAGTAGCGGCATCTCTAGCATGTGTTGCATGAGCTTGGGGGATGCTGATTGCGGCAAACAGGGTGTAGACTCTAAAACAGTCCATGCTGTGGACAACTTTTGCCTTTGAAGTAGAGCGGCAGTTCTGAACCTTTCTGCAGCGAGCTTCGGTTTGCCACCACTGCTGTCTTTGCCACCCCTCCTCCCACACACCGGCGTCCTCGTCCTTTCCTCGGTCCTCTTTTTCCCTCCCTTCTCCCCACTGGCTGTTATGGAGTTCAAGCAGGACACGCTCCTTTTGAAAACAGAGTTGAGGGGTGATGGTGGACATTTCTGCTCATGGAAGCAGTAGGTCTGCCTAAAATAGAGACATCTTTTGTTTTGAAACTGGACTAACAGTATTTAAAAAAAAAAAAAATAAAAAAAAAGCAAGGTTCACGATATCTGAAGAAGCACAAGCAAGATGAGTGTGTGGCTGTAGCTTACTGTTTATGGTACTGGGGGGAAGGAGAAAAAGTGCTGGGTCTAGTGTGTTCTGGACAATGTTCTTCCAGCCAAGTCTTACATTGTAGGTGCATTTCAAGATTGCAAATCTTTGAAGTTTCCCGTTTTTCTCTTTTTTTTTTAAGAATGGAGAGCATGTGGGGAGGTCTCCCTCCTTCTCAGAAATAACCAGATCTCTCTTAAGACTGCTCACTGCCAAACAGAATTTCAACTCAGCTTAATGGATCCTCATCTCAGAAGGGATGATAGAGGTGATATTCTCCAGGGATGATAGATGAAGGCATAGAATCATAGAATCATTTAGGTTGGAAAAGACCTTTAAGATCGTCGAGTCCAGCTGTTAGCATGACACTCTCTGCCCGTGGTAGAGAATAATTTCAGATGTTCTTGTTGATCATTCACGAGCTCTCATCAGCTGTAACCAAAGGGCAATTTTACCTAGGGTTTTAAATGGAAAAGCAGTATTGTAACAGCTAAATCAAAGCTTTTCATTGTTCTTTGCTCGGTGTCGGTGGAACAAATCACAAGTCTTTGAATGGTGTCAAAATAATCACTGCTATCCTACTCTCATGTAATTTAGCAGTGGTAGACTCTTTCAAATACTAGACTTCCTTTCCTCTGGAGTCGTGTGTGTCTCAGACAGATCACATAACCTTGCAGAGTTGGCGGGGTTTTTGTCACCTGTGCAGGTATCCCTGCGTTACAGTTTTAAGCAGGTATTTGGAATTCGCTTTAATATGGAGATGGCTACGGGTTGGGATAAATTTTACAGCTCAGGTGGCCACTGCTTTGTTCTCTTTTAGATCCCGTGACTTTTTTGAGAGAATCAAAAGAGGCAAATGGAGTTTCAGGTGGACTCCGTCTGAGGGAGTTACGTGTCATCTCTCACGCTGAAAAAGCGATAGGAGGGGGGACCTTTCCCTTTCCATCCTTTTTGTTTTCCTTTCCAAAATAACAGAAATTGTAGACAATATTCTTCTCTGCAAACTGTTGCAAGGTCTTCCCTCCAGCTGCAAATGCCGATTGGGTTTGGGCAAAGCAAACTGATTATTTCTAGTATTTTCTTTATATGTAGCTTCTATTCTATGGGCACCTAGAGATCCCTAAACAAAACCGGCCGTTCCTCACAGTAGGTACCACCGAGACAGAGCAAGGCTTCCCAAATAGCAGGGACGGAGCAAACTGAAGGCTGCCAAGTCATTTGCCCACTGCGCCGAAACCCGTTTGCAGGACCCAGAAATTGTCGGGCGTTTGTCCCATGCTGGTTGTTCCCAGGTTGCAGCTCACCTGCCCCCAGGAAATCCTGTTTGATCAAGAGGTGGATGTTGCCCCTTCATATCAGATAAGGATTTATGTTTTGGTGCCTTCTCACCTGCAGGCAAATGGCTGCAGAAGTGAATTTTGTAAGCTGGTCGTGTCAGAATTTGCGAAGGTTTATGTTGAGCTGACACTGTGTTTTGGAAGTTGGCTGATGGCACAAGAGAGGGAACTGTGGAAGGAGAGAGCAAGAGGGACTGTGCATAAGGTGGGCATCCGTCCTACAGCCATGAGAGCCCTTTCTGTGTTCAGACTCAAACTTTTCTTCATACAAAATCATCCACAGGTCATGACCAGCACTAATGAGACCATTTGCATTTGTGCTTTAAGAACGATGATTCTTCCCTAAAGACCCTGTTTTCAGGGTTAAGCACCCACTGTCACACTGAAGTTCAGGAGAGCGGGGAGCGTCTACCAGACCCTGGCTTTTGAGACACCAAGGGAACATTCAAGTAGGGGTCTGGAAAACGAAGAGGGAGTAAGCTTGGGGAGGGGAAGGGAGTTGACAGTGATGTTCATGTTGGGTTTTGCTGGGTGAACACCCTGCTGTTTTCAACTCTGTGTTGGAGAGGAACGTCTGTCGTCTCAAGTCACTTTCCTGTTTACTCTCGGCTGCTGTTCTCATCAGAGGTAGCAGTATCCAGTAGGGCCTGAAGGCGAGCACATCTCTGGTTTGATCATCAGTATGGTGGTGATCCCACAGCGCTGTGCTGAGGATATTCCCACCGGAGAAACCCACATGCAGCAAAGGGACCGTGCCCTTCCGTAGTCTGCCTGGCAGCAAAACGGTGACTGTGGTGCAAACATGGGTTCACCAGCCAAGGAGCTTGATCAGCATCTACCCCTCCCTGAGGAAGAGGGAGACATCCTGGTGTGAGGAGAACCACGATGTGAAGAAGACCTGGATCTTCGAGTCATTGTGAAAGAGCTGGGCAGGTTCCCAGAGAGCATGGGGCACTGAGCCAGGGCTCCTCCGCAAGAATGTCAGCGCCATGTGAACAAAGATGCTGGGTAATTAGAGAGGTAATTAGTTTGGTAATTACTAAGGTAATTAGTTTGATTCTCTCTCAAGCCAGTAACTGCTGGGAAGAGAACAGGATGCCACTGTGCTGGAGGGAGCACCTTGAATGGCAGTGCTGCAGCAAACCCCCCGCCGGGTTAACCCTTCGCCCTCCTCTGTGGGAAGTACCATCTGACGTGTTGCTCAGAATGGGGTGGTTCGGAGGAAAAATAACCCCGAAAGGTCAGCTTGTCAGTGGGCTCGTGCCTGAAAGCTTTTGAGCCACCTTCCAATGACACCCAGAAGTACTTGTGCCGTAGTCGGGAGAGCGCCGAAGGTGGTGGTGTGGTATTTATTAAGATTTTACATACCGTTAAGATTGCCGGGGGCAACTTTTGGGGGCACCTTTTGGGTAACCATTGCAAAGTGTCCCCGTGGCATTGCTGCTCTTGGGAGATGAGGGTTGTTCCACTGCTCCTTGGACATCCCGTCACCCGTGGGCTGCCCTGCTGGTTTAATGGAGGCACGTCTACCAGCTTGGGGCACAAGTGGGCAACAGGAGGTGGGTTTTTCCTGCTCCGCTGTCATATGAAACCGGTTATTTTTCTGACCGCCCTACGCAGGAAAACCGTCCCTGCTTCCTTCGCAAGTGCCACAGGTGGACGGGGGCAGAGCAGCTGTCCCCGTTATCCCAAAGCCAGGGTGGACTGCGCAGATGGAACTGCAAGTGCTCATTTGGGAGATGGCATTGGAGCTGCAAGAAGTGGATCAAGTTCCCAAGTAAACTGCAAGCTAAGCAGGTTCTTCTTCATGTTCATCTGTTGCTTATATGGAAAGAGCAGGGCTGGAAGAGACTCGGCAAATTGTTGGAGTCCAGTATTCATTTGATGCCAGAAAATTCTCATGTTCCTTCAAATGGGTCATCTTCTCCTTCCGAAGGTGTTCAGAGGTTTATTTGGTTGTGGTATAGG